ATAGCTAAAGTAATCTTTTAAAAGAAAAGTGAAGCTGAAGGCATCACAATTCTTGACTTCAAGCTATATTACAAAGATGTAGTAATCAAGACAGTATAGTGCTGGCACAAAAATCATACACATAGGTCAACAGAACAGAAGACAAAACTCAGAAATGGACCCAGAACTAGATGGTCAACTCATCTTCAACAAAGCAGGAAAGAATATCCAATGGAAGAAAGTCTCTTCAGCGAATGGTGCTCGGAAAAATGGGACAGCAACGTGCCAAAGAATGAAACTGGACCACTTTCTTACACCACACACAAAATGAATTCAAAAATGGATGAAAGATCTAACCAGAAAACTACTGAAATCCTAGGGATAACACAGGCAGCAACCTCTCTGACCTCAGCCACAGCAACTTCTTACTAGACATGTCTCCAGAGGCAAGGGAAACAAAAGCAAACATGGATTATTGGGACTTCATCAAGATAAAAATCTCCGTAGCGAAAGAAACAATCATCAAAACTAAAAGGTAACCTTTGAAATGGGAGAAGATATTTGCAAATGACATATCTGATAAAAAGTTTATTCAAAATCTATAAAGAACCTCTCAAACTCAACACCCAAAACCAAATAATCCAGTTAAGAAATGGGCAGAAGACACGAATACACATTTTTTCCAAAGAAGACATCCGGATGGCTAATAGTCACATGAAAAGATGCTCCACATCACACATCATCAGGGAAATACAAATCAAAACCACACTGAGATACCACCTCACACAGGTCAGAGTGGCTTAAATGAACAATTCAGGAAACAACAGATGTTGGTGAGGATGTGGAGAAATGGGAACCCACCTACACTATTGGTAGGCATGCAAACTGGTGCAGCTGCTCTGGAAATCAGTATGGAGGTTCCTCAAAAAATTAAAAATAGAACTATGCATTCAGCCTAAATGTCCACTGATTGATGAATGGATAGAGGAAACATGGAACATACATACAATAAAATATTACTCAGCCATCAAAAAAAAAAAAAAGGATGAAATCTTGTGATATGCAGGAACGTGGATGAAGCTAGAGTGTAATCAGTGAAATTAGTCAGAGAGAGACAAATACCATTATGATTTCACTCATTTGTGGAATTTAAGAAACAGATGAACATAGTAGAAAGAAAAAAAAAAGAGAGGGAAGCAAACCATAAAAATGACTCTTAACTATAAAGCACAAACTGAGGACTGCTGGGGGACCTGGGAGGGAGTGGGCTAAAAGGGTGATGGGTACTAAGGAGGGTACTTGTGATGAGCATCGGGTGTTACATGTGATGAGTCAGTGATGAATCGCTGAACTCTACTCCTGAAGTCAGTATTACACTGTATGTTAACTAACAAGAATTTAAATAAAAGCTTGAAACATTAAAAAAAATAAACCCATTGAAATAAAAAAGTAAAGATAAAGCACATACTTAAAAGTACAGATAAGCATTAATTTACTTACCCTATGGTCAAAAACTTTAGCTTTAATGAACATCTTAGTGTTGTTGTCCTTATCACAGATTTCTAGTGACAGTTTTGCTTTTATGGTAGCGTTTTGGGTCCCAGGTCAGAATTTGTCAAGTAAACTATCTAAAGACAGGAATAAAGTTCTGCATTTTCAGCGAAGCCTACATGTCACACCAGGTGATTCCTAAGCTTACTACTGTTGGAGATCTACTGCCTTAGAATACTCACCGTGAAGTTAAAAAATTTTGTAAAATTCTTAAAACAACTAATTTTAAATAATTTGAAAATTTTGATGCATCCTTTAAGTCTTTTGGGCAGAGATCAAAGAAAAGAGATGTTAAAAAAATAAACAGTGATACATTTATAAGAACGAATTAGGCATACAAATAATCGGGAAAACAGGTACAGAAGATGAGGTGCTTCTCTAACCACAGCTGTCCATTCACACATTTTAGGAGAAAACTGTGGGCCATTTCCATTATGATTTTGAAAACAGAAACAAACGAAAATATCAGCAGAGCACTTATTGCCACGATGCCACCATGATATGGAGTGTGCCCACCCTTCCCGAATTTACTAACATGTCCCCTTATCTTCAGTGTATTAACCTCACCACCTTCTGAAAGATGGCTACTTCTTCTCAAAGGCATTTTTCTGATCAAGATCATTTAGCATTGTCTTTTTTAAAAACTGCTTTGGTTGATTCTCTGAAATTGTTTTCTACCGTTATCTCAACTTATTACAGAAGATGTTGAAATGCAGGTATATTAAAATACATGTAGAAACTCTTGACACAGTTTGGATTAGCTCTTGTGTTTAGATGAGTCAGGAGTAAAACCAAGAGTCATTAAAAAATGATTTGGCTTAGAGCTACAAGGAATTAAAATATAGACAGTTAAAAAAAACATGTTCAGGATTAGAAGATGTCTTTTTTTGGGGTAAGGTTTACAGGACAATACAGTAGATATTGTACGATCGATCAGGTTTATAGTTGAGAGGCATTTTAAAGGGATAACGTCTCATTATTACCATGCAGTCACGAGAGAAAAGAAACCCTGTAGAATTCGGGAGGAAAAAGAGACATGGAAAAGGCAGATGCTGAAGTTTTCTAACTTCTGGGGATCCAATGTACAGCATGGTGACCACAGGGACCACCACTATGTTACAGGGGCGCCTGGGGGCTCGGTCTGTTCAGCGTCTGACTCTTGGTTTTGGCTCAGGTCATGAACTCATGGTTTGTGAGTTTGAGCCCTGCATGAGGCTCTGTGCCGACAGCGTGGAACCTCCCTCCCTCTCTCTCTGCCCTTCTCCCGCTTGCTCTGTCCTTCAAAATAACTAAATACACTTAAAGAAATAAAAACAATACTGCATTACCCATCTGAAACTTGTTAGGAGAGTAGATCTGAAATATTCTCATCCCCCAAAGGAAATGGTGACCAGATGAAGCGACAGAATTGTTTGTTCACCAGCCTTACTGTGGCCATCATATCACAATATATTAGCGTATTGATTTACACACTGCATACCTCAAATGTACACAATGATATATATTAATCATATCTCATCAGGCAAAAGAATATAAAAATGATATTTTTGAGGCACGCCTGGGTGGCTCAGTTGGTTAAGCATCCAAAGCTTGATTCCAGCTCAGGTCATGATTTCACAGTTCATGAGTTCCACCCCTGTATCAGGCTCTGGGCTGACAGTGGAGAGCCTGCTTGGGATTCTCTCTCTCTCCCTTTCTCTATCCCTCCCCTGCTCTCTCTCTCTCTCAAAAAAGTACATTTTAAAAAATGATATTTTTGAGATGACAAGAAAAAAAAAAGATGTCTGGTTCCCTTACAAGATTTTATTTAAGGCTTGTTCACAGTTTATCCAAAGCCCCGGGGTGTGCTGAGTTCCGTCTCAGAAACCAGCCAAGGCCCTGAAACGGGGCAGGTGCCTCTGCTCGCCCTCCAGACATGACCATTTAAGCACAGGTGCTAAGTGTGTGTGTGTGTGTGTGGGGGGGGTGTCTTTCTGAGCCTTCCTCGCCCTCAGGAACCTGGCAGTCCAGACAGTTCTCAGAGCTGACTGTTCTGTGGGACTCATGGGGAGGTATTTACAAAGCTTCAGTTGTTCATGGCAAACAACTCAAACTCTCCATGCAGGGGTGGCCGTGGGAGGGAGTGAGGATGGAGTTTGAGCTCAAGTGATTGTCTTCCTTAGGAAAGTAAGACAAAGTTTTTTCTTGGATTCCATAAATACACATTTAAAAAGCCCATATACCTTGAATAGTTGCAACCTTGCTGATTTTTTGGACTCCTCTCAGGAATAAACCTGAGTAACACAGGTTTATCATTAATATCTTCCAATATAGTATAAACAGATTTCTTCAGTCAGAATTTTTCCTTTTTCTATGAAAAGCAAACAGGAAGTGAATACTCTGTCTTTTCCTCTTACGGTATAGACTGGCTTCACCAGACCGTTCAAAGAACTACCGTGTGCTTTTTAACTTTTAACTTTCACTAATTTTATACAGTTTTATACAGGGTATCTAGTTTAGGGCCCTTCGATATTAAGGAGGAATCTCTGCAACATATTTTGGTTTTGATTTTTCTAGTTGGGTACCTGTGTATTATAAATAAACCTCCATATTAAGTTTACTACTACAAATCCAATCCTATTATGATGCAAACGACATGTGATGAAATAACCAAGAAAACACCACTACAATACTGCTTCTGCCAACGCAACTTGGTATAGACCAACCGGAGCAAACATGTCTGAAGCCACTAGATGGCATTCGTTCACCGCAGTTTTGGCCAAACAGAGCTAATGCTTATCATGATATAGTAGAGTTAGGAGAGAGGCAAATGTTAATTAAGCATTGTCATTATTTGATGATATTTTCCTATTATTTAGCACAATAACCAAGCTCACTTTTACCTATTCCCGTCTACTTCAAGTCAAATCAACAAGTATTTACTGAAAGATTTATTAAAGGAGTCTTCATTTGTGAAGAGAGTTGAAAACTGTCTTAACTACGCACTTAAAACATCTAGAAGAAACTGTTTTATATACAGTATGCGACTTAACTTTATTTTATATAATTGCTTTACTATTTCTCATAGTAGTTAGTTCTCATGCAGCTATTTTTCTAAAGGTTAGGAAAAAATGCACAGTCACAAATACTAAAGCTTTCTAAGATTTTAGATGGCATTCATCTTCAAAATTAATGTTTATGAAAGTAGGAGGTCAAGGGCTCCTGATGATTCACAGAAGGTCCTTTCTATTGCAGTTCTTAAAAATGTGTGAGAAATAGTGCTTCTAACAACACTGAGACCTAAGAACCGAAATGGCCTTTGGTGATAAAGGATTATGATTTAGTCGTGGAGATGAATCATGGAATGAAAAATCCTGAACTCTACTTCAGACGAAATGGTGAGGAGAAAAATATTGATGGGAACAAGTAAATCAAAAGTCAACTTTTTGTTGAAGGTATAGGGTAATAATGACATAAAATCCAGGACTTACCTGTTCTAATATGTTTTGAAGCCTCTCTATCTCACAGTCTATTACAAATTTCTTCTCTTGTCGTCTATCAAGTTCTTCTAGAAGTTGCCTATAGCTGACATCATTAAAATTTTCCACACATATAGCGCTGACATGCCAACCATTTTGTCCTGCTTTTTCCATAATAGCTTGAAGTATTGAGTATCCTAGTGGGGAAAAAAGATCCAGAAGTGTTACCAAAATCATACTTTTACTCCTTTTTAATAACTCATGTAGGCATTGAATCTGCAGCAACATTTTTATGTTGCAAATACACAATGGATGCTTTAGAAATTTAACATCTGAGTGGTTATTTCTGAATCATTTGTTTTTGCTTTCTTTACTTGAGGTAACACCCCTTAAAATACTACTTGGATGAAGGAAGAACACTATACCTTATTAAGAAAGTCTCAATATCTCTCTATTGGAGAACACTACATTGCTTTAGACATGTTTTTGATGAGATAAACCAAAACCAAACGATATCATACATTCTTTTTGTTAATTCTACTCACTGGAAAGAATTAATTTTGAACAACAGTTTTAGCTCTTCCCTTTCACAAGGTAGTAAAAACATTTTTGGATTCAGCTATGGAAGAGATGATGTAGAAAGAAACAACGCAAAAGTATTTATTGAAGGTCCATTATTGTGAATGGAGAAGGCATTATTTCCGCTCCCCATCTTTTCTGGAAAGAAGGTGTTATTTAACTCTTTGTCTCTTAGCCGAGGAATGATGTGGATTGAGGTTGAATTGAATGGCTACTAGGTGAGGCAGCAGGTACTCAAACTCATAATCTAGTAGAGGAGAAAGGCATTCAAATAAGCAAAGGCAATTTAGTTTAAAACCGTGTAATGAGAGCAGTACTCAACGTAAAGTGTTGGCCCAAAAGGAAGATTTGGTTGAATCTGCCTTGCTGGGATGTGGGAGCCAAGCGCGGAGGACAAACAATTGCACTGGGTCCCGAAGGCCGAGGACATCCATCCAAGATGGCTGCCGTACCAGGAGCGCGCGTTGGCTGGGGCAGCCTGCATGGACGCGGCGCTCCGTGCCCTGTGGCTGTCCTGACCTGTCTGCCTCAACCGGCACAGAAGGAAAGTCAGAGGTCCTGGGACGTGGGTTAGGGAAGATGGGGCCAGCCTGGGAATACAGCACCTAGAGTGTTTCTTCAGGCCAACACGGTCTTGAAATCTGGCTTTTTTCAGCTCTCGGTTTTTAAAGGTAAGGTAAAAACACACAACCTGGTTAGACTCAGAGCCTGGTACCCAGTTATGTTTTTCCCCTGCGGCTTAGCATTAAAAAAATGCTCATCCAAAGAAGGTCCGGCGCTTCTTTGAGTTCATTCTATGGCAGATGCCTATAGTCTCTCCCGCCCCTGGTCCCTGGAGTGCGCGTGTAGAACCAGGTGGATTAGAAGTAAAGGCTTGAATACATAGCACTTGCGAGATAAGAGGACGTTTATTCAGGTTTCTGATTGGTATGAGTCTCTCAGATTCAAAGACTTTGATTGTTAGGTATGTTTTCTACAGGTCAGAGTTTCAAACGTTATGGACGCTTAGTTAACATCAACAGATGGAACTGATGATGAGATCATATTTGAAATATAAATTACCTGATGTCCTGCCAAACGAAATACTGTGGCAGTCAGCACTCATTTTTATCTAAATGAAAAAAAAAAAATTCCCCAAAGAGGAAGAGGGAGGGCATGATAATTACCATACAATTATATTCTGGTACATCTATTGCACCATTTAGTCTTACCTTCTGTAATGTATGCCTGTCATTATCTTTTCAAGCCTCACCTAGATTCCCCTTGGCCCCCACCCCAAGTCCAGTGCCCCTTCCTTCGTTTTCTGTTGGACACATACATAACAGGATGGTCTGAGTGCTCTCTTAATGTACATGTTCATGCCTCATGTATTCAGTTACTGAGACTTGCTCTCTGCTAGGAAGCGAGTCAATGTTCCTTTTATTCGTTTTTGACACCTAGGAACATGTTCTTTTCAAAAACACCAATAGGCATCTTCCTTTTCCTTTTTCTCCTTCTATTTATTGTCAAACCAAAATTAAAGACATTTTGTTTGATTTTTTGCATGTTGTAGAAACGATAACTACTGGCCACACACGCCGAAGCAGTTGTCCTGCTCCGTGGGGTCAATTCACAGCTTTGCACGGGTCTTTATATATTGCCTTTAAATTTATTTATTTTTAAAAAAATTTTTCGCATCTTGTGGTTATCAGGATTCACATCACCAACAAAGCATCCAGGTTGTTATTTTCCTTCCTACACGACTTTCACAGAATGTACAGCAACAAGCCTTCTGATGAAATTCACATATGTTCACAGTTGCATAAGAGACATTTCAAGATTCACCACTAATGCCAAAACTATAATTCAAATTCAAGGTTTCATTATCTGATTTTCCCTGATTTATAAATGACACCAGAATTGAAATAAGACAAAACCCTAGGACACAATCTTTGTTAAATGGCCAAGAAAGCTGGCTGTCTCAAAAGAACCATTAATCACAGCCAGAAGTAAATTTCATCTTCTCAGTGCAGTGCAAGGGACATGCGGTTATAGGTTGGAAGCTTCAATTCTTTTATAAGCTGTGTTTGATTTTAATACACTTTCTTATTTATGCTATTGGAGGTGTGTGTCTTATTTATTTGCCAAGATAGTTGTAACTTGGAGAAAATACTGCTGTTGAATCTATGATTATATAAACTATGTTATATAAACTAGAAAATCACAAGTTCTGTCATACTAATTCTACATCTGGCTATGATTTGTGTCTCCCACTTATTAGAAAGTGGCAATACTGTGGGCCATGAATACTGCAGTGCTGGGAGAATATCACAAGATGGAAGGACACTTTACTACTGTAAAGGATCTTTTTAGTGTTGCTTCTATGTTAACAAGCTGCCTAACATTTTAATTCAATATAATCTACTGAAAACCTACTACATCTGAGATTCTTTAAGGTTTGCCAAGATAAAGACATGATTCCTATCTCTACAAGGAATTAACTATCTAGTCACTTACTAAGTAACTAACCATTACATAAATTACACAGTCTTGTATAAGTAAACAAAACAAAATAATTTTATTAGAATGGTAGTGAAACCATCCCATGGACAAGATCACATCACTGTTCTAGAGTAAGGAAAGGACACTATCAAAGTACACACACAGATATGTTTTTTTAAATGTTATTACATCATGTAATGATATTATCAATTATGCTGATAATTGGTCATAGTGATATAAGCAGTACTGAACTACTGTGTCCATACACCCATCAACAATTTTCACATCATCCACGGGAATGACCTATTTTGGATGAGCAGTACCATCCAGACATGTGGCTGCTAGCAACACAAGCTGGGCTTTATTTATTTGATGTTCTCTCTTTCAAGAGTTATTTGATTCAACTCTCTGTACACAGAGGGGCAGGAGGAGAATCAGGAGAAGTTTATGACACGGTGGACATAATTTCAAATAGGAGGGAGTTATCCATAAGCTGTAAAAAAAAAACCACAAAAAAAAACTTCCCTTGGATAAGTAAAGAGCTCATAGTGCTCTTTAATTATAAGGTCATTGGTGCAGTCAAAGCTGCATCAATGGAATGCTGGGTGTAGAAGTCACATTTCAGAAGGCTAAGACATGGAGAGAATGAGAAGAAGTGAGAATGTAGACATTACGAAGGAGTGTTGTCAGGGTAATGAATTACTTAGATGATGTGTGTGCCATCATGATGAACAGGGTGGAGAAGCCTTGAGGTCATGGGAACCAGTGTGGAAAGAAGAGGACTGAGTCTATCCCTTGGGGGTTGCTGAGAAGCTGCAAAGGGGCACAGCAGCTTCAGTATTTATTCCAACCCCTCTCATCGACTCATAAATTGCCATGCAGGCATCTACCACTACACTATTGATTTCTCTGGTCTGGGCACAATCACCAGCATCCCCAGCTAGTGGCTTTGAAGGGAAAGGTGTACATGTCTGGGAGTATACTTCATGCTGCATATGAACCTCTGTCTTAGAGAGGAGTAAGATTCTGTAATCCTCACGGCACTTGATGCCACCAAGCTGGAAATGGAGAGCAGATTGTGTGACCATGGAGTCTGGACTCTTTCCAAAACAGCTTAGCACGGAAATGTCTGGACTCTCAGATCTTAGCACATGGAAGGAGGAACCAATATGTAGCTTACTTAAATTAATGGGAAGCTGTGACTACAGCATTTATTTTATGCCATAGGTCAAGAAGAGCATACTGAAAATAAACAAAGATCTTCTAACTTACATAGTTTGAGGCCATTCACGCAAACCTGATGTAAGATGACGAGTTTTCCTTGTCTATAACCAAGAATAAAAATAGCAAATCCATCTTTAAAGATGGTCATTCTGGGTCTTAGATTTTCCCTGTGGCCTCTCATATTTTCTGACAAGAACATTTATTGTTTCCTGACACCTATACTCCAGTGTTCATGTTTAATTCAGATGGCATCTTACGGGTAAATTTGGAACTTAAATCTTTAAGGTTTCCATTGGTTGCAACTGAACCTTGTCCTCGTTAATACAGGCGTTCAGCAAGTGCTTTCAACCATCTGCCATAGGTTCAGAGCTCCTTCCTTCAGGGGGCATGCCCTAACACTTTTTTTTCCTTATTTCCTCTTGGGCTTTTCTCCAGGTCGCTGGAGAATTTAATTTCAGTACAAAGAATGGTTGTACCTATTAATTTACACAATCACATGCTGACATAGCAACCAGACAATTTTTGTAGACAGAAACTCCATAGGACTTCCTTGCAGGGCCTTGTTTTTTTTTTTTTCTTTTCTGATATATACCAAATCATAATCATCCCTCCCTATCTTTCCAGTATTATTTGGGCCATTAGTGTCTCTGTTTTATATGCTCCAGCAATACTGCCCTTCATAGAAGTTCTAGAAGCTACCGAGCATCTCCACCCCAGTGCCTTTGGACATGCTATTATTCCCTTTTAAACACTGTTTCCTCCCCCACCCCCTTCCCGTCTTTCATCTTTCAGAGCTTATTGCAAACATTATCCACCCCTGACTGATCACTTTCTCCTCTAACTTTTCAAGCTCTTACAGCTTTCTGTACCTTTCTTTCAGAGATTTTTACCACAGTTTCTGACTACCTATTTG